GCACAGGTACTACAGGCCTGACCTTGTAAGTGCTCGGAGGGTTCCGGTCGCTGGTTGCCTTACGGAGCCCGGTAGGGTGTCTGCGGGATGGAGGGTCTCCTGTAGAGGTTCTGTGTTAGGAAGGTCTCTGGCCTGGCTGCAAAAAATGATCAGCCTCTGAAGAAACAGTGACCAGGTAGCCAGGTCTTCTCTTGGGAGCTGCCTTCAAACTGGTGACGTGGCACTGAAAATAAAAAAGCTACGCGGACTTCTTCAGAAGGGGTTTCTACTGTGGGAAGTTGGTTTTCAAAAAGAGCATGCAAAAGTAGCGAGAAGGGGCTGTACTAGATTTAAATTTTTTCCTTTGGTAATGGCAATGAAGATGACCGAAAGTTTCCATTAGAAGCGGTGACAGACTGAGAGTCAAGACTACCGAAATTCTGGTCACAGAGAACTAAGCTCCAAATGAGACCATCCACCAGGGATATTAATGGTTGATTTGGTCTCTTGGAGGCCTTCTAACTTCCAAGGTTTATCTCATCCTCCTGCTCTTCTATACTTTTTTTTTTTAAGAACACTGTGCTATTTTCAAATCAGAAATAAGTTTAAAAATCACCATGCTTGAGCTGTCATGTCAAAATTTAAGCTATCAGGCTTAAATCATTGATAGATGCCAAGAATTTATGTATTTTAATAGTCTCTATTGTAACCTTCATTACAGGCAAATAGGTATATTTATTCTGAATGATATACACCTCTTTAAACTAGGATGAATTTTGAGGAAGTATGGTTCTTGGAATGTCATCTGGTATAGTTTCCTTTTTTAAATTTCATCTCCAGTGTCAGAGTTTAATTTCTAAAAGAAGGGAGAAGCAGTGAAATGTTTTCTTCTGTGACCAAGAGAAAGAATGTTTGGGAACTTCGAGTGCACTAGACATCTCAACCAAACTTCTTTTCTTAAATGGCAAAAAGCTTTGTTCCTTTAAAACAAAATGTCCATTCTTCCTTTTTCCTTCTATTTTCCAAATAATATTTTGCTACTTTAAAATAAATTTCAAATTACAAAAAGGTAATAGGTTAATCTTTAATGTTTGTATATAAGGATTATACTCTGCAAAAAAAGGAGGGTGGTATAATCACAATTTAGCTATAATGCTGTCTCTTACAGAGCATGCTAATTTACTGTTTTGTGAGTTTAATTTTTCTGCCACAACACTGATGTCTTTCTCTGTTTTTAACAGAGTATACCTGAAATACCTCCTAAGCCTGGAGAACTGAAAACAGAACTGTTGGGTCTAAAACCAAGATCAAGCAAAGTTCAGACTTCACAAGAGTGACCAGAATTTACCTATGTTGTAAAAACTCAAACTGATAAAATATTTGTTCAACTGTAGAAATCCATATGTGAAATACTGTACTCCCTTAATGCTTTTTTGTTTCCTTTAAGCAGAGTTATAGGCAGCATTAAAAATAAATGTACGATGAGCACTGTTAAGTCCAATCGGTTGTGTGCCAAAATACTTATGATTTCTTAATCTTGATTGCAGTGTAAATATCCTTCAGCATAAAAGATGTAAACTCACATTGGCAAGTCTGATGGAATTTGAAGCTTTTAAGCTGATTAAGAAGTATAGGAAGTGTAGCATATTGAAAAGTCAAGCTTTTATGGCCTCTCATCAGCTTTAATAAGCTTACCTGTTCATCTGTAGTAGAACCCCCACTTACCCCTTGGCATTTCCCCCCTTTCTAAACTTTAATTCAGTATTACTGGATGTGACCCAGAATGTGATACATGTACATGCCATCATATATAAATAAAAAAGATTCCTTATTGCAGCACTTCTTGCATTGGACTCCTAATGCTGGCTAACTGCTGTCACAGCAGTTGCATTGGCTCTCTGTCTGTATTACTGACAGGAAATCTACTTTGGTCTACTGTAAGGCTGGGGAGGATCTTACAACTTGGTTTTGTTAGTTAAAATGGGGAAGATACATAATTTCAGTGTAACCTTGTATGTGTGTTTATACTCCATTTGGCCATCTTCTTCTGTTTATGGCTGATTTTGATAGCTGTAAATATACAAAGCTTTGAAATAACAAATGCAGGTTTACCTTTCAGTCCTGAAATACTATCACCACAGAACTCTCACACCAGGAACTCAAGAAGATACACAAAGTCAACATCTTACAAAGATGGTATGATAACCCATTTTTGAATGGTATACAGTACAGCTTATGAAGTTTAGGGATTGCTTTCCCTTGAGAAAGGTACCAAGACAAGGCACAGGCTTCAATCTCAGTTCTCAGTCAGATTTAATTTGGGAAAGAAAATAACAATCTGACAGATTACCCATTAAGGAAACCAAAAAGCTCCCCAATTCCTACTGGCAAAGTACTTTGAGCTCTTATAATAGCATTGTTTGCTTGTTTGCATAAGTTGGAGTGGTTTTCCCAGGAAGAAAGGTTTATAGTTGTCCCCGTGTGTATCTGCTCCCACATGGTTTCACAGCTATTGGCTGAGCTAGACAAGCAGCCAAGGCAGGATGAGATCCTCTCCTGCTCTTAGGTGCCCATGTGGCTATCGAAGCTGCAGGCTGTACTTGGAGCCTGTGATCTAGTAATACTATCTCAAACACCTTTATCAATGACAGCAATCATTGATAGAAAGGTCTCAAGTAAATCTCAGATGTTAAGCCCAAATGAAATCAATAAGAGCATCTTATTAGGTCCAGTTCTGGTGAAGCTTTTTCCTTCACAGTACCTAAACACAGCTGAGATTATCTTATGCCGAGGTGGAAGGTTGTCAAAGTTTATTGAAGAGACAAAGACAGGGAAGTTCAGAAGTATTTTGTTCCTGTTCTAAAGAGCCAGGATTCACCAACCGCTACCCTGTTACGCTTTGTCACAGTATCACCTCTTATGTTGTCAATTTCTAACATGAAAGATGCATTTCTCCCTGTTTTCTAAAGGTTTTTCAGATCTAAAGGCTGCAGAGGGAAGTTGCTACTAATTTGGCTTGGATTTCCACATGTATCCTGCCACTAATGGAAACTGAGCAACAGGGAGCACCTGTTTCACCCCAGCCTTTTCTAGCAGTGAGGGAACTGTTCCCATTACTGCCCATCTAAGGACAGCAAAGCTGACAATACACCAGGTTTTAACAGCAGAGGTGACACCCCCAGAATCAGCATGACTGCAGCACTGAAAGAAATAGCCTCAGCGTGACTAGGAGACACTTTTTCCAGCATCAACACTATTTTGCTCCAGAGAGCTAACAAAAAAAAGCAAGCTTACAACTGCATTTTGTGCTTATTAATAGCAAACACTTGTCACTCCAGGGTAGAGAAAGCAGCTGCACCACAGCTATGCTGCACATGATATCCTCAGCTGAGAAAGAGGAAGAATACCTATGCTTCTGATACTCCTCTTCAGTTTGTCAGCTGCAAAAGCACTCTTAACCATACAGCAGACACCAGCCACGTTTGCTACTCAGGCTGCTCAGAGATGTAGAGGGGTTGCTGTTGATAATATACTCAGAAGTGTATCACTAGAAGTGATACTTTAGGAAGTATTAAATCAAAACCTCATCAGCAGTTGATTGCTACAGAACACAAAAGTCATTACCATAGTAAGAGGGCCATGCCTTAAGAAATGGTGCACCTCTAACTTACTAACAAAGGACTGCTGTTAAAGCTGGTATTGCTGGCTGCTGAACTACACTCTAGGGTTACACCACTCAGCATGACTCTAGTAACAAAAGGCTCTCAGTGCATCTAAGATACTACTACAGTGAGCAAAAAATCAGAACAACTCCAAACTCCCTCAAAAACACAGAACTAAGCTCCCATTCCTTGAAGTTTCAAACAGCATACTTCAATAAAGCCAACATCTCTGTATAAACCCTAACACAGTACCACACCAATATGTGACATGTATTTATTGCATGGAAACAGTATTTGGGCAATACAGAAGAAGCCTAATAAAAGTAAATTGAAAGTAAGTTCTTCAGGCCAGTGTTTCATGCCCTCAATTAGAAACATTTTGTCTTGCTTCAGATTGCAGAACCTCAAACTTTACAAAAGTTGAAACAGAAGAGTCGTTCTTTAGTCACTGTACAGAAGTACTACTCCTATCTACTTCTTACTTCTTCCACAGAGGAAGGCAAAAAAACAAACCCCAAACATTTCAGTGTGAACACTTTCTACAAACCCCATGAAGATGTTTCAAAATAGAGACACAAGTGAGAAAATGTAGTGCTTCATCTAAAGACCACATAAAGCTAGTATAATGAAGAGAAACTGATGCCTCCAGTTCAACCTGTCTACATTAATTTGGTGTCAACAGATTTAGCTTGAGTTAGATTAAGTATCTACAGTGCTTTGCCATACTAAAAGAGACATCAAGCAAGAGTGAAAGAGTTTAGAAACAGCAGCATTAAGGAGTAACTCTAAGAGACAAGAGCTTCCACCTTTAAAAAAAACTGTAGGAAGGAGGACTGCTGTAGCTACACAAGTCAAAGGCAGGGTTACCAAATACCATGGAAGATGGTATAAGCTCACAGGCAGCAAGCCACTTCTGGTTGTTGTTGCTGTTCACATATTTAGTGAGAGTGTCGTGTCCCCCCTTCCCCTCCCCTCATCTCAGCTATAAAAGCTACCACTGCCTACTCTGTACAGTGGAGTCAAGTCACATATACTCCAATACAAGCTGCCATTTTAAATACTCAGACATCAGTTGATACGTAACTTCTTCAATGCTTATTTCAACTAGCAAGTTCAGTACAGCTCTCAAATACCAGGTGTATTTTATCTAAACAGCAGAGCAGGTTTGTTAACACAAAACCAACCATAGGCATATGCTACACAGTTACGTGTCGCTGTGCCAGCGGGGAAAGGCACACGGACTGCAAACTGCCTGTTGTACAAAGGACCTGAACACTCAAGACAATCTCTTTCTTTGTGCCAGCCCACAACATGAGCTTACTAGGTATAAATTTAGAGTTAGTGGTGTTTGGGAACATTTTATTTTGTACATGACAAGATTTTACACCAAGTCAGTTAAATAATACAAATTTACATTCATGAGGAATGTTTTTAGAAAAGTGAACTTAAAAAAAAAATCCTCCTTGACCCTTAAACCCCATACAATCCCTCAACATTTTACAGTGGAAAAAACCAAAACAATCTAAACTCACATTCCCTCTTAACCCCCCAATGCAGGACAGTAGTTGAGTGCAGCTTACAGTTCATCTTTCACATCTGTGGATTCCTGTGGAGACAAAGAGAGAATCAGAATCTTGCTTTTTGAAAGTGGAAAGTGTTACAAGAGCTGTTCCACAAGAACTGAACCTAACTACTGCTGATGTTTTCTAAAGCACTAAGTAATACAACTCTTAAAGGAGGTATTAAAGTCAAACTTGGCTCAAATGATGGCATGTTAAGCTTTGCTATTAAAAGTAAAAAAAATTTTCAGTCTGCTCAAACATTAACAGTAGATCTAGCGTACCATTTCATCTTTAATACTTTAAGCTATCCTTCAGGCACAGTATTTAGTGCTATTAATAGCCCTATTCTACTTGATTGCAGATCTAGGAAGCACATCTGCTTTCCAGTCAGAAGTCAGAAACCTTAATCTGAAAGTGTGCTAATCCAACAAATGGAACATAACTTTGCTCCTTTATAATATATTACTGTCATTGCAGGTTATAATGCTGTGTAAATGCAACAGTAATGGCACCAAAATTAAGTTGCTATAGTACAATAAGCACTGTTCCTCTAATTTATTCTTAGGTAATCTGACATTTAATAGTAGGCAAGTACATCTCTAACATTCCGTTAGTCATGATGTCATCTTGCAGGACTCTTCCAAAAGCAACCTGAGAAAGCAGGTCCAGTTGGGACCTCATAACAGCTTTACAAGTTAATGTTACCAAGAAAATGTGGTATTGGAGGAGTTGAGCATATCCATCAAGACACCATTAAAATTGCAAACATTACCTAAGTGAAGGCTGACTTCACAAAATAGTTGCACTGTTTAGAAGTGGTGTTGTTGAAATGCTTGCAATACAGAGTTGCAAACTATACTCTTTCAAACTCGAGATTTGTTGATGTTATTGCCCACAAGCTGTGGAAATCTAATAGATAACATTAAGTCTACTGTAGAGGATTCACTGCTGTTTTCTTGCCATAGGACACTCTGTTACAACCTCTTAAGCTTAATTGAGCTCCAACTTTGAACATATCCAAGTGTTTTCCTCTTACAATATAGTTCAGTAAGGAATGAAATGTCATTTCTACTGCAGTTTTTTTTCCCCTCCAAGAAAAGCCTGGAAAACTTC